CTGAATCAAAAGTGTTATGTTAGGCTGCTATATTTTCTATAGGCTCCATTACGAATTTTGATGTGTAACCGCAACTTATCTTCACTTGCTCCTCTGTACAAAATAAAACTAAATCTCTTAGTAACACTGTCACAATACTCTCCAAGAATTTTTCTTAAGTACTTTTTCTTGCTATTTCCTCACCTAAGCCAAATGACCTCTCATCCTACCTTGCCTCTAAACCCATCACAATGTTTCTCAACCTTTAAAGATCAGTTCAAATGTTACTTTGTGGAAACTCACTCAAATCATCAGCCAATAATTATTTTTTCTTCCTATAGACAGCCATTGTATCTCTAATAGTTATGCAATTTTCCTAAAGATATAATTACTTTTTGCATATGTTCCCATTATTATTATAAGCTATCTTTAGGTATGCAAACATTGTCTAGTCTTTATTCCTAAGCACCAAGGAATCAGTACATGCTTTTGTAAAATAAATAGGTCATGCTACTTATTATATGAGATAGTTCAAGCCTGGAGGGAGATCTCCAATATGAACCTGTTTAGCATTATACGAGGTACAGGTGGACTGAACTTGCCCTGCTTAGAGAAAAGATCATGTCATTTGGCCTTGGCCCACTGAACCACTCAGTAAAGTCTTTTGCATTATACTTAAATTACTCTTTAGAAAATGGGGATAATAAGAGCACTCACTTCATAGAGTTGTTATGAGGTTTTTGAGTAAAACATAATGTAAAAACAACAATGTGAACATAATAAGTCTATGTAAGCACCTGCTAAATGATAAAACATTTTGATGAGAAAGACTGAACAGGAAGGTATGGCACATTTTTCAATTCTTAGCTCTTAAGTGAGGATGTAATCCCTAGTGAACTTTTGTATAATCAGATTTCACCCAGTCTACATCACCCACAATCAAACTTGCTGAAATGTCTTGAAGCATAAGGGTCTCCTGTCCACACTAGCGTCCCAAGGTTATGTGGAAAAAACAAATATTATGTCTTTTGGAATACAACAAAGGGAGTTCATTTCTGTCAACCTATCTCCTTTACCCCTGGGGTCCCCAGCCCCCAGGCCACAGACAGGTACAGGTACATGGCCTGTTAAGAACTAGGTTGCACAGCAAGCAGGAAGTAAGCAGTGGGTAAGCATTACCACCGGAGCTCCACCTTCTGTCAGATCAGCAGCACCATGAGATTCTCATAGGAGTGCAAACTATTGTGAACTGCCTATTCCAGGGACCTAAGTTGCCCACTCCTTATGAGAATCCAATGCCTGATGATCTAAAGTGGAACAGTTTCATCCCAAAACCATTCTCCCCACCCCTATCATCTGCAGAAAATTTGTTTTCCATGAAACCAGTTCCTGGTGCCAAAAAGGTTGGGGACTACTGCCTTACCTCACAAAAAATTCTTCTGGTAGAGAGTCCATGCTGCACAAGGTTTCTTTACAAAAGTCTTACTCCACTGCTTGCAAACTGACTTTAAATACTGCCCTTTAGTGCTGTAAGGAAAATAATATTTTTATAAAGGTAGGAAAGTTACACTCTCCCCACTATTAAAACAGAACATGACCAACTGAAAAAAATTTGAAACATCTCTAAAAGACGAAAATAAATCACATAGTTTCACCACCTAAACATAATCACTACCCATCCTTTAATATGCTTATTTTTTACCAAGCATAGGTATATTTTACCAATTTGTAATCATACTAAATAGAAGATGTTCTACCCCACCTTTTTCGATACTGAGTGTTATAGCAAAAGAATCTTTCATGTTATTTTATCCTCCTAGTAAACATTCTTAAAGGCTATACAATAGCTGGTTGACTGGAATTTCCTTGGCCATTTCCTTATAGTTGGACATTTAATTTTCCATTTTTTCTATTAGAAATAGTTCCATGATAAACTCCATTGTCCACAAAGCTTTTTCCATATTTATGATTCTTTATAATAAATTCTCAAAAGTAAAATTAATATATCAAAAGACATAAACATTTCATTGTTAAATGGCTTCCCAAAAGGTTTTTACTAATTTATTTCCCACAGAGGTATATATGACTTCCTGTTTAACACAATCTTTTATGACAGCACTGTTTTGTATTCTTTTAGTCTACAAACAAGATGTAGTTACTTTTTCCCCCAAATCATGATTCTACGTCTCCATAAAATAGGAGACACAGGGTGTAAAGAACACTGGCACAATATCTCATTCAAATATCAACTGATGTTGTGGCTATTTCCTGAAAGAAAAATAACGCTGAGGCAATACAAATGAAAACAAAGGGACTAGAGTATCATAAGTATATATATTTATTTATATAGCTATATATTCCAAGAACAACTCTTCTAAAACTGGTCCCATTTAATCTCCTTACTGAGAGTTGAAGCCTGTAGACTCCAGTGCTTTGTGCTAGGCTGGCTTCCTTTTCTGATCCTACCCTAAGCTCAGAAAGTGTTAAATCACATGTAAAACTATTGTTATATGCTCTGGGCAAAAGAAGGAATAGAGGAAATAGAAAAGAAAGTGGCAGCAATAGCATAAATGAAACAGACATGGATTGCCTTGGTGCCAAGCACAAGGCTGGATGATGTTTCTCATTTATTGTTTCTGAACTGCTTATATATCTCAGTAATTGAGTAGCCATTTCTGTAACAGTATATTTAATACAATTCCATAAATTAGGTTGGTACATCTTTTCTAGGCCCATTACTAAAAGGTAATATCAGCATAGGGTAATTCCCAAATCAATAAAATATATTCCACAAGATCACTATAAGTCATCTATTAAGAATTCAGATTGTATTTACTCAAACATTGTTTTAATGATATCCTGTTCCTCCCCCTCCCCCCGCCAAGAAAACAATTTACCGTAGACAGTAAGAAGTAACTGCAGGACCTGAATCTATCAATAAACCTTGAAGTCTGTATATCTTTTCAGTAAGCTTAGAACAAGGGAGGGGGCAACTCAGCCCTGGTATGAGGGCTAAAACAAGTTCTGTGGAGATCATCTGTAAAACAAGCATTCCTAATTATGATACTACATACCAATAATCTACATTTGACTCACACCAACTCTAAGTAACACAGGAAGTCTTGGAGAGACAAGAATAATTCTCCAACAATTTGCTACTGATGTCTTAATCAAAACACAAAATTACACATACACACACACAGAGCGAGAGAGAGAGAGAGAGAGAGAGAGAATTTCCTTCTAAATTTCATTTAAAAGAGAGCTTTCTTCTAGTAGCTCTTAATTTCTTGTTCTTCCCTAACAAAAACGCTTCACTTCACTGCTGTCAGTATTACAACTTGCCTACATAGAATGAAGAGTTCTCCTAGATAATTACTTTATTTTATAGTTTTATTCTTATTTCAAAAATTCAGTAAGTAATATTTTAATTTGTATTCTCTGTTCAAATACTGATGAAAGACACAAACTGCAGCTAATAACGAAGCAGAGAGGTTGAATAAACCTTGTCATTCACACTAGGTCAGATCTGCTTCATCTCGTTAATAAAGCTGTATAGAAAAGGACATAGCTTTGAGGATTTTAGGATTGTGATCAAGCTATTTTTATGGTTTGGTTTCTATAAATCTCCCTGTTATTTTAATAAAAAGTAACAACAGTTAAGGCATTATTTCATAGCTACAGAATACAAATGTATGCCTTTTCCAGACAAAACAATCCCCTCATTTCCAGAATTTATAAAAGCTCAGACTTGGAGACCTCTCCCTCTGCTAAGCTCTTCTTTGGCCAGTAGATGTTTGCATAGATCACAGCAAGGATGAAAAGAAGGGAGGAAAATCCTCTGGTTACAAGATAGAGAGAAGGACTCTGCTAAGCTGTTCAGTGTTCAGCTTGAAAAAGAAATGGGTGGAAAATTAATAAATCAAAAAGATATTTGGATCCTGAATTAACAGAGTTAAGAAAGGCTAATGGCTTTTTCAGCCTGCTCAAAATACAACCTGAGATGAATCTCTGTGATGAAAGGTTTTCCAGGAGAGAGAATCATCAATCTCATCATTTCCCAGGAGCTAAGCAGGTATGTGTGGCAAACACTACCGGCAACAGCAACAGCAATAGCACTTGACAGCCTCTGTTGGGGAGAAAGGCGAAGTGCCTAGCAACCGAAAGGAAGTAGCCAGCCTGAAACGTTACCACTGTGCTGCTAAAATAATCCAAAGGTTTTTACCATTCTAGAAGAGGTTGCAGGAAACCTTTTAAGTCAGGGTTAACATGGCGGGGGGTGGGGTGGGGTGGGAGGTAAATCTATTTTCCCCTAGTGTATTCATTTCAATAGACTTTCCCTGTCAGCAGGAAACAATATTTACTCTTACTACCTGGGATTAAGAGACTGCTTTCCTGCAGGAACCCAGGTTCTTGTTGGTTGATCTGAGGGCAAGCTAAAGTTCAACATCAATTTATAGCACACCTATATCCACTAACCAAGATGATCTTATTTGTAGGCTGTGTTTTACTGGTTGAAAAATAAGGTATTGCCATCCATATCTTAATTATATGCCTTTCTTACTGTTCCTTCTACCTGAGCTCTCACCTTCTACTTTCTCTCACACTTACTGAAATTTTAACAATATTTTTTAGTTGTAAAGGTATTTTGTTTCAATTTTTAAAGCTGTGTATATTCACATCAAAGCAGGCACAGTTTTTATTTATAATTTTTAAATAATCTACTTAAACATTTAACTTGTGTTACTGTCACCTTCCTAACCTGTATATAGTCACATTTTTATTAAAATCCACTCAAACGTTCATCCTGACTAAAATGTTACCGAAATACCAAGGGTTCAGTCTAGATCCTACTGCTGGCCGCCTGGAAAGCTAATAGCTGAAACAACACATTTTGCCAAGGAAGAAGGCTTTAATTGGAGAGATGTGAGCTCAGTCTCAAATTCATCTACCTGACTAAAATTAGGGGTTTATATAGCAGGAAAAATATATAACGATGCGCAAAAAAACAATAACTAGGAAGGGGCAAGGAGGCATCTGGTACAGTGATCTGGTAAGTTTCAGTTCTTGGATATTTTTTTGAGAGGCCTGAAGATCCTTTCCTGAGGAAAGAACTCAAATAAATAAAAGTCTGAAGCTTTAACAAAGGAAGGATCAATTTCTATGTATATCCAAAAACAATTGTCTATGGCACTACTGGATTATTTCAAAAATACCTGACCAAGATAGAGACTCTAATATACCAACAAGTTCACATTTCAACGTGTGGGTGGATGTCCCATGAATTTTCCTCCTTTGTCAACTCTAGCACTTACAGACTACCCAATGACAGGAGAAAAAAAAAGAGTATTAGTGTGGAAAACAACAAAAATAAAGTTCAATACTTTTCTCCATGCTACTAATTTAAAACAAAGTAATATATTTTGTATTTTTCAGGAAAAGAATTCAGTTATTAAGAACTTTTCTTAATTTTGTGACCTCTGCCCACAAAATCAGGGTCTCTCAATTTTGGAACTACTGACATTCAGGTTTGGATAATCCTGTTACGGGAAGTTGTCATATGCATTTTTTAGGACATTTCACAGCACCCCCTAGCCTCTGTCCACCAGATGCCAGAGGCAGCTCCCTGCCAACACACACACTCCAGCACATCCATACACATCAGCCCCATTGTGGCAATCAACAATATCTCCAGATATTGTCAAATACCCCTTGAGGCATAAAATTACTCTCCATTGAGAACCATTCAGTTAGATGAACGAGTTAAGAAGCTTAATTGAGTGGACACAGAGATTGTTTTGGGGAAGAAAAATAAGACCGTGCTGACATTATACATGTACAAACACAAACAAACTTATGTCTACAAGAAAGCAAAATGACATAAAGTATCTACATTTCCATTAATATCAACATTAAGTTGAGAGACTGCATAGTAGTTTAGGAGCACAGAAACCCTGTATCACTCTGTAAGGGTATCATTTGACACACACACTGCTTTGACACACACTAGCTAGCTGTGTGATTTTATGTGAAATTAATAAACATTCTCTGTGCTTCAGCTTGCTTATCTAAAACATAGGAATGACAGTACCTCCTCTTTCATAGGGTTGTGAAGATTAAATGCTTAAAACACAGAATAGAATAGTACCTGGCACTTAGTAAGCACTATATAAGTGTTCCTATCAACAGCATTTTCATAACCATAATCATAATCATCATCATTTAACTGTTTAGGTTTGCAGCAAAATTAATTAACTTGTCTGTGAAGGAGAAATGCTATTGATGAAAAGGAATGTTAATGAGATTTAAGAAATGGGATAAGAAAAATTATTTTTCAAATATATCACACATGACACCATGACACAAAAGACAGCATAGTGTGTGCATACTATTCAGTACCTTCCATTTTTCACACCACCACATATACATCTACTTTAGTCTTTAAACTGCATAATAGGTCAATGTATGAATATATCATTTTACCAGTGTATGATCATGTCATTTTACCAGACCATTGATAAAAACTTCAG